CCAGAACTCCATGGATCTCTGACTCCACTGGATGATAGAGGTCTACCCAGAAGAAGCTGGGGTGCTCTCACAGCAAGGGTGCGGTGAGCTGGTGCTATAGAATTAGGTTCTAGTCTCAGAGCAAAGAACCCAGAGGGAGAAGCAGAGTTGCCATGAATGGCGCCCATGCTCTCTTTGCTTGAGCTGTCATCTGAACATGGGTCCTCATGAGATAACAGAGAGCATTGTGGGTCACCACAGAGAACTGTGTGGTCTCTGGTCTCCCACAATTCTCCTTCATATCCACTATAGTGCATGGCACGCAGAGGTGGGTTTTCTTCTGGTGTGAAATCTCACACGCATGTCCTCTCTCCACTGACCTGCAGTATGAAGAGCTGCAGGTCACAGCAGGCAGGCACGGGGACGACCTGCGCTCCACCAAGCAGGAGATCGCTGAGATCAACCGCATGATCCAGAGGCTGAGATCTGAGATCGACCACGTGAAGAAGCAGGTAGGAGAGAGGGAGAAACTCAGAGCCTGGTGCCCACTGTTTCCTGTCTTCTAGAACAGAGGAACCCTCCAAACAAAGACCTGGGGCTCCCCCTCTCCCGAGAAACACACCGGAAGACAGTTTTTCTTGTTCTCTCTGCCCAGTGCGCCAGCCTGCAGGCTGCCATTGCTGATGCCGAGCAGCGTGGGGAGATGGCCCTCAAGGATGCCAGGGGCAAGCTGGAAGGGCTGGAGGACGCGCTGCAGAAGGCCAAGCAGGACATGGCTAGGCTGCTGAAGGAGTACCAGGAGCTCATGAATGTCAAGCTGGCCCTGGATGTGGAGATCGCCACCTACAGGAAGCTGCTGGAGGGGGAGGAGTGCAGGTGGGTGACAGTGTCCTGGGGATACCTCCAAGGGCCCAGGCTCTGGGCTCCAGGGGAGGGAGGACTAGCTGGGCCACAGTGGCTCCCTTCAGAAATCCTTGGCAGGGGACTTCCCGGGAAGTGTCACCAGAATGAGGGTCCCCATGCAGACTGAGGCGATGGCTCCAGATTCTCACCTGCTGTGTTCCCTCCTAGGTTGAATGGTGAAGGCGTTGGACCAGTCAACATCTGTAAGTCCCCCGCTTGCCCGCCTCCCCTCCCCTGCCCGTGGCACTGCCTCAGCCTGACACACTGAGCTCACCATGTCTGCCGTCTCCCCTCTCACAGCTGTGGTGCAGTCCACTGTGTCCAGCGGCTATGGCAGTGCAGGAGGCGCCAGCAGCAGCTTAGGCCTGGGAGGAGGCAGCAGCTACTCCTACAGCAGCAGCCAAGGCCTTGGAGGTGGCTTCAGTTCTGGCAGTGGCGTCAGCCGTGGCCTCAGCTCCTCGGGTGGCAGCTCCTCCACCATCAAGTACACCACCACCTCGTCCAGCAGGAAGAGCTACAGGCACTGAAGCCCCTCACCCCAGATCCCTGCCTAGAGCCCTGTGCTCAGGTGCTATTCCTGCTGGTCTCCCAGCTCTGCTCTCTGGCTGGGCTGAGGAGGCTGAGCCCTGCTGCTCCTCTCTCTGCTCCCCTCAGGTCCCCTCTGTTCCTCTTCTCATTGCCATCCTCTGATTCAGGTCCTTGCTCACTCACATGAGCTGCTTCCAGTTGTCTTAGGTCACCGGGCTCCTGCCTCCCAGCTCTGCCTCTGAGGCTGCCTGGGAAAGGGTATCTCTGTCCCTTTCCCTCTGGAAGTCTTTGTCTGGGTCCTGCTCACACCCAGAGGAGCTCCCCTTCAGTGTCCAGTGGCCTGAGAAATGCCATCTTTCACCATCATGCACCTTCCTGGCAGTAACTATGTAGCACAGGTCAATAGTCCTGTGCTGAACAGAGTCTGTGTCCTGTAATGTCTCCTCTGCTCTTTGCTTTCTTCATGTTGCTAAATAAAGCAGGTTTATAACATAATGATGGTTTCCATGTATCTTTTCTTGTTGCAAATTGTTTTACATAGGCAGTTTGTAGCCTTGCTAGACAAGGTGCATTTAGGATCTCCTTACTGCTCCCTCTCCAGCTGTGTGTGCCTTCCTTTTCTACTATTCCGTAATCTAAGCTTGTGTTTTAATTTTACGAACTTCTATAACTTAGTTTTTATTTATTTCAATTTTCTACTATCTTTTTAATAAAAATACAATTTAATCACTTTCCATCTTTATTTTCCACGCAACAGTCCCTTCCAGGTACCCTGATTCCAAACCCTCAGTTATTCCTTCAATTCCAAATTGGTAGCCTTTCAGGGTAGCCTGTATTTCATTCATTTTCAGTAAATACTTTTTTAATGTACCTGTTTCCCATATGTTTCATTCCATTTATTTAGATATAGTTAAAAATATTAGTTCAGTGTTCCCTCCCCCCCGAATTTCCTTCCTGTTAGTGAGAAGAAGAAGCTGCAGACTGTTAATTTATAATTCGCTTTAATGGCCCTGATTAGAAATTAGTGGTTAGGCGCCTCTCTGTGAATACCAGCAGAGCAGAGTAGTCCCCCACAGCATTCTGGAGGAGAAACATATTCTTGGACAGCCATAGCAAGAGCCTTTTGACAAGAGGCAAGGTTGGTGTTCTAGATTTACACTTTCCTCATGACCAAGAAACTTGCCTGACAGCTGGGGACAGAGCAATGAACACTGCTTCCTTCTGAAGTGGATCTGCACCTGGAAATGTGCCCTAATAACAGTGCAAACACACCAGGGGACCCGGAATGGTCCCGAATCCCACCTATACCACCTGTAGCTGGGAAACACTGGAGGCATTCAAGGTGGTCAAATGGAGTAACCCAAGACTCACTCAAAACCTGAAGTCCTTATTTTGGATTATGTAATGACTTAAAGCCAATATTCTTTCCTTTTCACACGTTTAGCCCCCCAAGGACTCTCAAAGCATCTGGGCTTGCATGTGGTTGGCCAGGAATGATGGCTTTACTCCTGCCTGTCCTGTCCTGGTGAACTGGCTGTTTTCATGGTCAACTTGACACAGATCATGGTCATTAGGGGGAAATGAGACTCAGTTCATGGAACTCCTCCATGAGATCCTGCTGTGGAGGAGGGCCCGGCCCATGGTGGGTGGTGTCTTTCCGAGTTGTGTTGTGTGAGAAAGCGGCTGACCACGCCACAGGGAGCAAGGCACTAAGGAGCACCCATCCGTGGCCTGTGCATAAGCTCCTGACTCCAGCGTTCTGTTCTTTGAGTTCGTGTCCTGACTTCCATCAATAATGACATGTGACAGACCTGACCACGTGTTTGGAAGGATGTGGAAGGACTTTGGAACTCAGTCTAGAGAAGTCAGTGAAGGTTGAAATCTCGGTGGGATGTTCTGTAGGAACTTGGAAGATAAGAATGTGGAGGGCAATGAGGAAGATGGAGGCCTGGCTTGTGAGGTTTCAGAGAGAAGAATGAAGAATCTATCAGGGCTGTTTGCTATCTTGATTTAAAATTCTGTAGTTCTGGTTAAGATATTACATACTCTTCAAAGAAATGTCTACCAAAAAAACAGAACAAAACATCGCAATTCTTAACATCTGTACTCTAGACACAAAGGCCATCAAGTTAGGAAGAACAGCCTAAATCACGCATTGACCCTCACTCACTGATCCTGGGAGACTTTATTACCTGATTGCCACCAACAGACAGGCCTGTAGACAAAACCTGAAGAGAGAAACACTGGAGCTGACTTACGTTATAAACCAAATCAGCCTAACAGATATTTACACAACATTTCACCCAAAGAATATAATGTTCTCAGCACCTCACACGATTTTCTCCAAGAGTGACCACATCTTGGACACAAAGCAAATCTCAACAGAAACAAGAGAAAGCTTCCAAACTCACTGGAAACTGAACAACTCACTACTGAATTTAAAAAAAAAATGGTTGAGATAAAAAATCTAAAACTTTCCAGAATTACAAGAAAATGAATACAAAATACACTCAAACGTATGGGACACAGGGAAGCAAGTTTGCAGCACTAGTTGCTTATGTAATAAACTGGTGAGCTCGCAGAGTAGTAACTAACAATACATCTCAAAGCTCCGGAACACAATGAAGACCTCAACGTAAATATCCTAGCTGGGGGGACGTGATCAAACTCGGGGCTGAAGCTGATAAAATAAAAACAAAACAAGGCAAGGAATCAATGGTATAAAGAGTTGATTCTCTGAAAAAGAAATGAATACAATTTCAAAACCCTCATTCAAATTAACCAAAAGGCAGAGAGTGAATATCCAAAATAACAAAATTAACAATGAAAAGGCTGACATAACAAAATGTCACCATAAAAATGCAGAGAATGCAAGGACACATTTAAAAATCCACAATTCACCAACTTGGAAAAACTAAAATAAATGGATAATTTTCTCAATAGATAGTGCTATATAAGTTAAGATCTTATAAGGTAATTAAACTGAAGTGCAAGCCATAATAAAAAAGAAACAGTAATTAAATTTCTCCCAACCAAAACAAAGCCCCTGAGGCCCTGATTGTTTTTGAGCAGAATGATGCCAGACTTTCAAAAAAAAGCTAAACGCAATACTCCTGATATTAAACCCCTAATAGAAACAGAAGAAAAACTGCCCAATTCATTTACAAGGCCACAGTAACCCTGGCATCCCAATTGACAGAAAACCCAGCAAAGAAAGAGAATTACGGACCAAATTTTCTTATGAACATAGATGCAACAATTCTTAATACAATACTTGAAACCAAATCCAAGAACACACCAGAAAGACCTTCATCATGATCATGTAGGCTTCATCACAGACATGCAGGGATAGGTCAACATAGGTAAATCAATTAATATAACCCACCTTAAATAACAGAGATTAAAAACCACGTGGCCAGCTCATTAGATGTAGAAAAGGTCATTGACAAAATCTAAAAACATTCAAAATAAAAGTCCTGGAGATACTACAAATAAAGAGACCATAGGTCCACACAACAAGAACCGTTTACATTAAGCCCATGGCCAACATCAACTTAAATGAGAGAACCTTAGGGCAATTCCACCAAAATCAAGAACAAGAGAAGCTTAGCCACTCTCTCCATTGGTATTCAACACAGTACTTGAGTCTTAGCCAGAGCAGTAAGACACCTGAAGGAGACCAAAGGATACAATTTGGAAAGGAACAAGTCAAAGTTCTTTCTTTGCAGATGGTATGAGAGTATATATGAGGGATCCAAAAAAGTCCACCTGGAAATCACATCAGCTGATAAACACTTTCAGCAGGTAGATGGATACAAGATTAACTCACAAAAATCAGTATCCTTCCCATATACAAACGGCAAAGTGACTGGGAAAGAAAGCAGGGAAATAACACCTTTCACAACAGCCTCAGGTGATATCAAATGTCCTGGGGGGTAACTTTAACCAATCAACTGGAAGACTCCTGTGATAAAATCTTTAAGATGTTGAAGAAAGAAATTGAAGAATGTACCAGAAGATGGAAAGATCTCCCATGATCATGGATCAGGAGGATTACTAGAGTACAAATGGCCACCCTGCCAAAAGCAATCACAGATTCAATGCAATTCCTATCAAAGTTCCAACACAATTCTTCACAGATCTTGAAAGAAAAATTTTCAACTTCATATGGAAACACACAGGCACACACACACACACACACACACACACACACACCAACGAAAACAAACAAACCAGAATAGCTACAAGCAATCCAAATAATAAAGGAGACACTGGAGGTTTCAACATCGTTGACCTCAGTACTTACAGAGCTTTGAGTGTGTGTGTGTGTGCGTGTGTGTGTGTGCAGGGCGTCACTGATGAGAACTCTGAAACACTTCCAAGTGTGATAAGGTTGGTGGACCTAGCTCTCCACAGTTAATGGCTTCTGGGGTGGGCAAGGAATGACTCAGTCCTGTTTAAGGGCAGCACACTGAGAGTTTGAGCATACTCTAGTGAGTCTATAGATAACACAGGTTGGGCTTGATTTTCTTTGTTTGTTGTTTTTATTGAGGTGGGGGAAGGTCTA